TACTAATAAATCCTATAAAACTTCTAAGTTCGTTGAAAGTCCTTAAGCTGAGTCAAAATCTCGTATCTCAAATTTTTTAGTACACTAAAGTCTCATGTATGAGCTGCATTAATTATTTTGGTTTATTTTTCGAGTTTTCTTTTATTTACCATAAAGATGATGACTCTCGTAAGATACACTAAAAAAATTAGAAGAAAAAGAAATGATCATGACAAAAATATTAAACGACAATATTGTAAGAAACGTTCGATTTTACTATGCCATCAGTTTTTTCAATAGATATTTTTACAAGAATACACCTAACAAAAATTTTATCAGTAGCTTGATCTGTGAAGTGAACAAATATTCATCCAGTCATTAAGAATTTCTCAAGTTCATCACGTGTGATAGAGATTTGCATGATTAGTGATAATTTGAATTTTAAATTGTAGATTTTTATATTTATGTGAGTTTGATTTATTTCGTACATACTAAACATGCAGTATGAAGATGAATATAAAAGAAAACAGTAACGCTGAGAAGATGATGGGATTAAATATCTAACATTCTCATAAAATAGATCATAAATACAACAAGGGTATTTCGAAAAATCACATACATAGTGTACGGTGATCATAGGAAAAATTCCAAGATGATGAATAGAACAATTATAATATAATGACTGAAAAAGTCCATATTAACATAAATGTTCTAATTAAATAAAAACAAAATCACATTCAATATCATGTTTGATATTTATTGTCTCTATTAATAATTTCTTTTAGAATTAAGTAACGATAAATAAAATGCAAATAATTAAAGTTTGTACTTCATTTCTGTTATATTTTTAATTTTTTTAAATTTCAAAATAATCAATAGTATTCAACATTTTTTCTCGAATGATTTCTATTTTTATAAGGCTTGTTACTCTTGATAGCATGATGTAATATGTTTAGCTTTTTTGCATAAGCAAAATTAGGATGTTGGTGAGGATGTCTTCTGTCGTTAACCCTTCTTCACACACTTCAAACAATACAAAATTTCATTGAAATCAAATCATTTCAATTAAAGAAATGGAGTTCATCTGAGAAACAAATCTACATAGAGGTAAAGAAAAGTATCTGAAATATGTTTTTACATAAAGAAAAAAAAAATTTTAAAGAAAGCATGACAAATTCGAATTGCACGAAAAGCTCTACTCCTACATCATCAACTTTTCTCAATCGATTACAAAATATAATGTATTATGAATCATGGAGTCATTTTTAAAAATTTTTATTTAAAATAATATTGAATATTACATGCGAAGTTAAGTATGAAAGTTAAAATTAGATTTCTATTCTTATGATAGAAGAAATCACAAACATTTATTTCAATACAGAATGTGTTTTATATGATGGCCTTAATAATAAAATTTATTTTTTTCATAGCTTCGCTCAACGATTGACAAATACAAGATGCAATGGTTTTTATCCTTTCTGTAGCTATCATTTTTTTTTCTTTTCTCTATTTCTTTCTTTTGACATAGTAATACACAAGTCAATATTTGTGCATGTACGTTACAATACTTTAAAAATTGTCTTTTTTAATAAATAGGAATGACTGATCTATGAATTTTTAGTATTTTATCATGAGAGATATTTTATAGTTGTTTTATCTTTCTTCAAGTAACACTAAAACATAAATGGTACACTTAATAGAAAGCCACCAAGGATTTCAACACATGTATACAATTATTATTGCGACATAAAAAGAAATATGTTTTAGTCTTTTCTTCAAGTATATTTGACTTGTTTATGATGTGATTATTCATGTTAACGTCATTTTAGTGGGTATATTCACGAGATAAGAGCCATATATTTTCTTTCTACAACTTGCTTAGCCTCCCATTTATTTCAGTGTACATTACGATTGAAATGGCAACTAATGAATGTATTGTACATTCTCGCAAGACTTTATCTAAATTTCATGCTGCTATTAATCAACTTCGTGTCGAAAAACTGTTTTCTAATGATGTTTATCGAGAATTACCCAAACGATGTTGTTCATGTAATGGAAAGCAAGGTAAATATAATAAATTGATACATTTTGAGAATGAGTTTTAAATGATTTGTTTATATGTTTCATTTTCAATTTAGGTTTAAAGACAATAGAACTTGAAGCTCTACGCGAAATTTCTAAGGATATAATGTTATCAGCAGCATCTACTGTCAAAGTTCGATTTTCATCAAATGCAAATAGGTTTCATTACATTATGAAAATTAAAAAGAGTATATACGATTATCTATTTAGATGGTTTTTGACGAAAACTGAGGAAGACAATCCTGATGAAGAAGAGATGGATGTTGAAGATCTAACTGATACGACAGATGACGATGCATCCCAAGATTCAATGTCGATAAGTGATGCTGAGGATAGAAATAACCAACATACATTATCCAATGAGGAAATTATTAAGGAAAAGTTTGCGAAAGGTACATCGTTTGTATATAATCTCATGATTTAATTATTATTCATTTTGTTTCTGTTCGTCACAAAGTATAGTTAAATGTGATAGATATTCTATTTCTGATCGAATTCAATTCGTTAATTGTTCGCTTTTGTCTCGTAGATATTATATGCACTCATCTCACGAGTTTGTCTGACAGGAATTAAGATTCTCGAATTATTGTTTCGCTTATTTCACTAGTACATTCTCATTTAAGTTCATGTCTATCTGAGTTGATTCTACTAATACAAATGATAATACAAAAACTTAAATAAAATACTTTAGATAGATCGATCGAAAATTTTGTCTTTTTCTCAGAGTAGCTTGACTATAGAAGATAGAGAAGTAACATTGTTCAACTTGAAAAATTCCTCTTTTGTTACGATGTCGACACGGTAAAAATGAAATTTAATTATTACATTTCATTTGATCGGAATATCCTTTTTGTTGTAGTAAAATATGCTTTGATGAAATATTATCCATGCTACATAATATTTTTATTACATCGATTTTGCATTTTAATCGACTTCTTTTTATGAGTCTATAATAATTGTATATTACAGTTTTAGAAACATTCAAGGTTACAACAGCAACTGATGAATGTATTGTACATAATCCTAAATATCGATCGAAATTTAACCATGCTGTTAATTTACTTCGTATAAAACAGTTTAAAAATTGGACTTATCATAAATTACCAAAACGATGTTGCTCGTGTAATGGTAAAACAGGTAAATATCGCAACTTCTTATTTGTCATGATAGTTTTAATATGAATCTATATGCTCATTTTCATTTTAGGTTTGACTGTAATTGATCTTAATGTACTGGGAGGTATATGTGAGGAAATTGAATCAAATCCACCAATCAAATCAGTATCAGTGAAGCCTTTTCATGTCTTGACCTTTCCATTTGAATCAACAACAAAAATTCCAGAGCGTCGCACAAGAATTCGCCGTTTTATTGGAAAAAAAGGTCAAAACTTAACTATGCTACAAGATAAATACAATGTTCGAATTCACATTATTAATAGATCTTCTAATAAGACACTACGTAAGAAGATCAGCGAAGTAGAAAATAAAGCTGTAAAGCGAGATATGAGTAAAGCAGATGAACTCTACTTGTTAATCACAGGGAAAAACAAATTAATGACAGATGCTATTCCCATTGATGAAATTAAACGTGAAATAACTGAGAAATGGGAAGAAGCAAGTGAAATTGGGTTTATTGAAAAAGAATTTACTTTCGATCATACGGAATCAAATAAACGTTTTCAGTTTTTGTCTCTTCCGTTCGAATCAGAAGTTTCACTGGAAACACGTAATGACATAATTAGCCGTTTTATTGGAAAAAAAGGCGAAAATTTACGTGATTTGGAAAACAATTACAATATTCATATACATATTATTAAACAAGGATCTTCTAATGAAAAATATTTTCGACAGCTAATTGAAGAACAAGAAAAGAGTGAAAAACAAGATCCAAGTAACCAGGATGATCTCTACGTGTTTATTACGAAGAAAAACAAATCAGTAACGGATGTAATTCCAATAAATGAAGTTAAAGAAGAAATAAGTAAGAAATGGAAAGAAGCAAGTATTGAGCCTCCTGATTTACAAGGACCATTTTATTTCTTACCTCTTTCATTCGAGTCGAAAATGTCTATCCAGGAACATTACAGAAAAAATGGTCGTTTCATTGGGAAAAAGGGTCAAAATTTACGTGCTTTGCAAGACAAATATAATATTTACATACACATTGTGGATAAATGGTCTTCTAAGAATATTCGTCGAAGACTGGCTAAAGTACAAGGTGAAGACAACACGGATAATCTTCATTTATTAATCACGAGTAAAAATAAGTTGACAACGGATGGAATTCCCATCGATAAGATCAAACAAGAAATAATTCTACAGTGGAGAAATGGAAATAAAGGTCGTGCTGGCAACAATAGCAAAAAATCATCGAAATCAAAGTTTCTATCAATAGGGTCGACCGAACTGACTTCCGATGACCGATGGCATCCAAAACGAATTCGTCGTGGGAAATAAATCTATGTAAAGAAAGGAAAATGTACACTAGAGAGTGGTATATGAACTTAAACATGACTCATATATTTGCTAATGTCCAAATAAATTGTTTGCAACCATTTACCAGACAAAATACATGACATTAGAAACCCTTGAATAAATATATTTTTTCTTTGTTAATAAATACTGTGATAGCTATTATAGAATGAATTCAACTATTCCATAAAGTCATTTCTGATTATCCGAATTCCGGTCAGAATGTGGATGTGAGGGAGAGTTTGGTAGTTTCACAAAATCTCGAACTGGAAGACTGAAACAGAAACAATTTTATAATCTGTGATGATTAACGATGGCGATAATGAAGAACTTAATAAAATGATGAAACTAAGTTGTAATAAATTTGTATTTGCATAAGCATGTTTTGAATATACGATGGCAGAGAATTCAGTGACCAGCATTTTGATTCTGATTTAACCGGATACATTTGAAATTCAATATGATTCTGTTAGAGTTTGTTGATATTCTATTAAATTAAAGAGCCGAAATTGTGATAACTAGATTCGTAATAACTTCAGATAGAATTATGTCGATATTCAGATTATCAGACAGAATCCAGTCACTTAGGTGTGTCTTTAGATGTAATACAGTGGACGTCAAAAGTCCCGCATCACTTTTGTGTTTCGGTTGGCATTTAAAAAATATACGACATAGACTCGGATTTCTTTTTAGCTTCAAACTTCAGTACTGCGACAAAAACTACCCAAAATAGACAAAATGATATGATTGTTATGAGTTATAGAAGTTCCACTAAAGTTGGAGTAAGATGAAAATCGAGGAAGATTTTGTTTGATATTGTCACATGAGTCAATAGACCTTGATGAGCTCTACAAAACTGTCTACACGCTAAAAAAATATAGTGCCGCACGAAACTCTTACGGTTTCGTGACAGTTTTCCTATACTATATAAGGTTCCGTAGAACAATACGAAACTTCTGAAAAGTTTAGTTAAATTCAAGTTTTGCGATATACTTTTTATAATTTCGTGTCGAACTTTTCTGAATTTTAAACTTGCGCATAGTTTCGTGAAAAATCTTTTCGGGTTTCGCATAAAGGAAGGTTTCACCAAAGACCATCTTTGTTTTCTTCAAATGAACATACGAAAGAACACGAAATCATTCATTCTTTTATAAGCTTGTCCTGTCTTATTGTTCGATATTGAGAAACAACAAAATAACCGCTGATATCATTCACTATTGCCTTCTCTATTTGGATTCATTTCACAACAAATCTTGTTCTTCAACATATAACCTTTACATATTTTCACTTCGTCAACACCATTAATTGGTGTATTGAAAACAGCTACTCTTTGAAATGAATAAACAAACTGAATTCAGTTACAATTTTATCGTTCGTTTTTTCTATAGTCATGTATCCAGATTTACAACGTTTTGACAGCAACTATTAATTCAAGTAAATAAATGAATCTGTTTTATTTATATATGCAATATTCTTTTTTTCTCTTTGGGTTCTGAGGTTCGAGTTTGATCCAACTGTATAAACACGGTATGATTCGTCTTCTCATTTATTTAGATTCTTGATAATATTTTGTTATTCGTAAACTTAAAATTAAGTCTTTTTGTATGTTTAAATTTTTGGACTGAATTTAGTCGAAATCGATGAACACAGTTTACTTTATGTTTTTGTTTATTTAGATTCTTGATTATATTCTATACTTTGTTATTTTCACAATTAATATCTTTTTTCTCTTTAGATCTTTAGTCTCAATTCTATTCAATTGATTGAACATGATATACTTTTTCTATTTGTTTATTGAAATTGTTAATCAAATTCTGTTATATGTAAGTTTGAAATTTTTTCGATGTTTAGGTCCACGATTTGAATTCAATACAAGTGAATCAGGACGATACGCTATACCTTTTTGATTGTTAGATTGTATGTTCTATTCTGTTATTTGTAAACTTAGAACTAATATTACTTTTCACGTTTAAATTCTTAGTTCGAATTTAATCCACATAAATGAATACTATATGTTTTATGTTTTTGTTTAGTGAGATTGTTGGTTGTATTCTATGTTTGGTTATTTTAGAATGAATATTCTTTTTTTCTGTTTAGATGCTTTATTCGAATTCGATCCTATTGAATCACACCTCTCATCGATCTTCAACTCGATACCAGATAGTATTATCTGCCCATGATCGTACTTCAACAAACATATTGCGTAACATATGCATAAGATAGAATGAGAGTAAGAAAAAAAAGTGCGCCAACCAGGATTCGAACCTGGGTCAGTTGCCTGGCAAGCAACCATGATTACTGCTACACTATTGGCGCTTGCTCCAAATGGTGCAATATGAAGAAAACTTACTGATAGTGGGGCAAAGTGCGTAGCGAATTCGATATAGAATTAGAAAACAATAGCTGAACAGACGGACATTAAACTACTTCAGTCAGAAAAAAAATCAATCGAATATTCCAGTCATGTGAAAAATGAAAAAATGGTCATTAAAATGGAGCTTTTTAAGTGAATAATGGTTTAAAATGGGCATTAAAATGCACATCGAATTATTTATGCATCATTTTGATCATTTACTTATCGCAGACTTTATTTTTTGGGGGATTCGACTGATTTGAATAATGTATATAGTTGATAAAAAATATATGAGTCATTAGTTTTTGCATATAAAATGTTCATATCTTAGACAACACGCAAGAGCATTCTTTCAAATTAATACATTAAACGTCGAGAGAAATAATTTAGCCTGATAAAATCATACTGAGCACCAATCTGAAACATACTTTCTCTATGACTTATGATAGTAAATTGATTGATCTTGAATTAGAAAGGATCCTTATCGATAATAATGTCTTGATCTTTTTTTTTTAAGGATAGGAATATTATTTTAGTCGATTGGATGAGTGGTACACTATAATAGGCTGAGCTAATGCTGCTTTCTTTAGTCTCATGAGCGCTGAAATACAATGAATTTATCGATACCATCACACATTGACATCACTTGTACAATAACATGATACATATATTTGTGTAGACTGTTAGATAATACAATCAGCTATACTTAGAATATTGTCTTATTCTAACTTCTCTTTTATTAAAACTGTTATATATTGATCTTAACTGTCTTACACCTTGTATATATATATATATATATATTCAGATGGAATGAAGAAAAAAACGGACTTTCAAGAAAATGCCTGAAACCGTAAGGTACAGTAACATTGATCGCAGATTAGTGGCTTTTCTACTATATGTTTTCAACATTTCAAGTATTTAATTGGATGAAATTAATTTTTTACAGAATTTCAATTTTCCCTTATATATATATATATATATATATTGTTGTCACGAAGGGAACAGTAATTTAATGGGAAAGATTGCTAGTGGTTCTGTATATATTGATTAATATTCGCGCATACAGGTAACATGATTAACTGATAAACATATCTGTACATTTATTTGTAATTTTACGTCAAGAAATGAGTTATAAATGGTTAGATACAGATAAACTTTCATATTAACGGCAATTTCTTTTCATTCATATATTCTAGTATATCACCTGGCAATATGTTCAAAATAATAATATTAAAAGAACACAATATTTTTTAATAGCTAACGAATAATTAAGATATGTGGTCTTTCTTATTTTTGTAAAAATAAAGTAAAACTTTACTGATTTTAAAACAGCAAATTTTCGCTTACATGTAACTATTTTTATTACTGATTCTATATATATCTATCATCGATATAATTATTGATGTTCGTGCAGGGTGTGAGTCTGAGTGTGAGTTATTTCGATAATAACCAAACCCAGACACAGACCCGAATATACACACCCGCACCATTGACATGACTAGACAAAAGACTAAACAGTTAGCCTGTGGATTGCTCGTCTGATTGGAGTATTCCTACAGATTATTCCAGCACTTTGCCCATGGGATCTTCGAGATGTTTAATCTCTTCATCCCTATCATTTCTCAGCTTTAGATCGATCTTTCACAAGCGATCATCAATTCATCTCATATGTTTGGAACGAAAAATCCTATGTATGGGAATTGCGGGTTCTTTTTCAGTTCATGAGAAATTAATTCCATCTAATTAGATAAAAATTGCTGAAGAACATAATATATCGATTTCCATGCAGAATAATATAGCTATTTCTTCATTGTTATCTCGAGCACACCGAACAAAATTCAGCACTATAGATTGATTGGTCTATGTCCACAGAAAATAGCAAGGATGTGGATGTAGATTTGGTTGCTTGCCTTAAAAACAAGTACATACAGGAAAAACATTAGGATTCGTCTTCTTTTTGCAGCATCACCATGATCATTTTGCTTCATGATAGACAAGTAGGCTATTGAAGTTCTGTAACCATCATACTTCGATCTGTATAGTTGAGCTCTTTTTTCGTCGAGTTTCTGAAATTTTTTTTTTCTTTTTTTCTTTTAATCAAGCAAAAACGTCAACATTATATCGATTTACAGAAATCTTTTCGAAAATGTCAGATGCTGTTTTCTCATCGCACTGTTTCTCTTCGGCGATAATCTTAGTCAAACAGGCTTTCAACGAAGCAGCCAATTTACTTGCACTTCCACACGTGTAAAAACATGCACCTTCACGGAATATTTGAACGATCTCTTGTCTATCTTCCCACACTAAATCTTGAACATATTTTTTACCATCATCTGATTGACGAGAGAAGATAGTTTTGACTTGAATCGCACCCAGATGAGACCACTTTTCAAGTTCATTAAAGTACAGAAAATTTTGCGATGATCGGCAACCGAAATGTAGCATAGTTGGTCCAACTTCTCTTCCGCATATCAATTGTGCGGCTCGTTCTTGAATAAAACCACGAAAAGGGTGTGGGTGTGGGTGTTGGTGTCGGTGTGTGGTATGGGTGTGGCCATCGTTTCCTCACTCACACGTACACTCACACCCACACCCGCACCCAAACCCTGAAACCGACATTAGTAACTATCACACCCTTTGGCCTTGCTTAAGGGCTCATTAAATAGCTGGAAATTTTCTGCAAACTGCCACATATACAATCAATGAGAATTGTTTTTTCTAAGTTTTATCAAAAAACATGAATCATTAAGTTTAGTAGTCCTAGATTGTCATCACTAAAAATATTATATTCATATATTGATTTCGACGTTTTCAAATATCAAATTTATTAGAGAGAGCTGGATTACATTATTCTAAAGTATTAATTCAAAGAAATTTTTTCCTTATATTTCTAAATCTACTTCAAAACACAACTTCAAATGACGAATCATTCGCTATAAGTCAGTTAAGATCCTCCCAATCATCCCACAAAAATAATTTCAATCCCGGATTTTTTCGCAACATTTGCGTCACATGGTGCTTGGATATTTTTCCTATTTCATTACGTCGCAGGTCAAGTGTGGTGAGTGTCTATACGAGAAAGTCGATATTTAAATAAAAAAGATAAAGTGAGAAGAAACTTTACTGTATTATTTCGAAAAGCAGCAGCCAGAGCTAGCGCACCTTGATCTCCAATTTCATTGCCAGCGAGATCAAGATAGGTGAGTGTCTATGTTAGAAACTCAAGATGCACAAGAGTGAAACAGAAAGAAAACTTATTTACTTTATTATTTGTGAAAGCACCAGCTAAACGTTTGGCTCCATTTTGTTCGATTTTGTTGCCATCGAGGGCTAGATAGGTGAGTGTCTATACGAGAAAGTCAACATGCAAATGAGAAAGAAAAAAAAGAGACTGAGATTCACTGTGTTATTTTGAAAAGCATCAGCTAGATCTTGGGTACCTTGATCCCCGATTTGATTGCGCATAAGATCGAGCTTGATAAGCGTCTTTGAGAAAAACTCGAGATACAAACGAGAGAAAAACAAGATATTCAGATTTACCGTATTACTTCGCAAGGCAATAGCAAAGTATTCGGCTCCTTGATCTTTAATCATATTGTTGCTGAGCACGAGTGTGACCAGTGTCTATGTGAGAAAGTGAAGAAGTGAATACGGGGGAAGTGAGCAGAAACTGAAATTCACCTTATTATTTAGTAAAGCAGCACTCAGATGTAGGATTGCCTCGTCATCTATCAGATTGGAGGAGAGTTCGAGTGTGCTCAATGTCTGTCTTAGAGAAAGTTCAGATATAAATAAGAAAGATCAAGGAAGACTGAAACTTGCATTGTTATGTTGCAAAGCAACAGCCAAATGTTTGATACCGTCAACATCAAGTTTATTCCCATTGAGGTTGAGTGTGGCAATCGTCTGTACAAGATAGTTAAGATGTAAATATGAAAACTAAATAGAGGCTGAGATTCACTGTGTTTTTTCGGAGAAAATTAGCGAGTTGTTCAATTCCTTCAGCTTCAATTTCATTGTTCGCAAGATTCAGTGTGATTAGTGTCTGTGTGAGATAATCATAATGTAAACGACAAAGAGAATAAAATTTACATTATTATTTTCCAAAGCCTTTGCAAGATGTTGGATCCCTTCGTTACCGAGTTCAGTCTTAGAGAGGTCGAGTTCAGTAAGTATCTACATGAGATAGCGACGATATAAACAAAAAAGATAGAAAAGGACTAAGGTTTACGTTATTATTTTCGAGTGACTTAGCCAGATATTGTGCCCCTTCGGTACTGATTGCATTGCTGGAAAGATTTAGGGTGATTAATGTCTGGGTAAAATAGTGATGATGCAACAAGAGAGATAGAAAACGACTAAGACCTACATTGTTATTTTCAAAAACCTTAGCTAGATACTGAGTTCCTTCGGCAGCAATTCCATTGTTAGTGAGATTGAGTGTAGTGAGTGTCTGTGTGGAATATTGATGATGCAAGAGAGAATGCTCAAAGAAAATTGAAAATTACGTGGTTATTTTCCAGAATCTTGGTCAAATGTTGGATACCTTCATCACCAATTTCATTGCTAGCAAGGTTGAGTGTGGTGAATGTCTACATCAGAAAATAAACTGGAGATAGATAGCTAATGTTGAATAATATTCACTTTATTATTATGAAAAGCATTAGCCAAATGTTGAATTCCTTGCGAGCCAATATTATCATTTTCGAGGTTCAATGTATTGAGTGTCTATGTATAAAAAAGATGATACGAACCTGGAAGATGAACTCAGAATGTAGTTCACCTCGTTGTTTGCAAATATATCAGCCAGATATTGGGCTCTTTCGGCGCCTTTTTCTTCATCTTTCAAGTCGAATGTGATGATTGTCTGTTCGAGATATTCAAACTGTAAACTTGAAAAAGAAAAAAATAACTGAGATTCACCGTGCCACTTGATAGAACATCAGTCTGAAGATGTTGCTCTTGGTCTGAAGTTTCATCATCTCCGATATATAGCTGGGTAAGCGTCTATATCAATAAGACAAGATGGAATTCAGAAAGATTAACAAAATATTAAACTTTACTGTGTTGTTTCGAAAAGCAACAGTCAAATACTGCATTCCCTGCTCTCCGAATTTGTTCTGTCTAAGGTCGAGGGTGATTAGTGTCTGAGAAAGAAGCTGAAAATAGATACAGGAGAAACAAAAAGAAAATGAGTTTCACTGTGTTATTTCGAAATGCATCGGCCAGATATAGCGCTCCTTGATCTCCAATCTCATTTCCATAGAGATCGAGGTTGGTGAGAGTCTGGGAGAAGTAGTGAAGATGCAATAAAAAGAAAGAGATTGTGACAAGAAAATTCACCTTATTGTTTCGAAAAGCATCAGCTAAATGTCGGGCTCCTTCGTCAGAAATATAATTGTAATAGAGACGGAGTGTTGTGAGTGTCTGGATGAAAAAATGAAGACGAAAATGAGACTGTTAAAGAGAGAAAGATATTCACGTTGTTTTCTTGGAAAGCAGACGCCAGATGTTCAGCGCCTTGATCTTTCATTCCAGTGGCAACGAGGCTGAGTGTAGTGAGTGTCTGTAAGAAATAGTAATGATGCAAACAGAAGACAGAGAAAGAGACTGAAATTTACGTTATTATTTTTGAAAGTGTTAACCAAGTATTCGATCCCTTCGTCACCGATCAAATTGTCAGTGAGGTTGAGTTCGGTGAGTGCCTGTGTGAGAAAATGATGTTATAACCAAGAGATAGAAATATACTAAAACTTACGTTATTATTTTCAAGTGCCTTAGCAAGATGTTGAGTTCCTTCGGCGCCGATTCCATTGCTAGCCAATTCGAGTGCGTTGAGTGTCTAGGTGTAAATGCCATGATGAAAACAAAATAGATTAAGATAGAATCGAGTT